AGTTATCCCCATCCCTGCCACATCTTGCAGTGCCTCCCTCCTCCCGTGCTGGCACCAGCTTTGAGCTACATCTTCCCCAAATCGCTCCCGAATCTTTGCGTGCGTCACCCCCGCGTGCAGCACGAGCTGCCCCAGGACTGGCGTGGGTCCATGTCCCCTTCCCGGGTGGCACTGACGTCTCTCCACCTCAGCAGAGTTGGTTTTTCCCCTGCTGCCCCTCCTTGCTGGTAGGCAGCAGATCAGAGCTGGGTTTCCAGCCAAGCGTGGGGCATCTGAGCCCCACCGCCCTGCCAGCCCCCCCAAAACCACCCCCCCGTTTCTTCCAGCTGCCCTTACGGCACGGGACCAGCGAGGTCGGCACCAGCCTGGCCACGCGGGCACGGACAGCCCGGCGTCGCAGACGGGAGCGAGGGGGTCAGGAAAATGCGTGTGTGCTTTATTCATGGATATGTTTGAATATTGACATGTACAGAAGAGAGAAGTACAGGTTATACCCCAGTAGGGTTAGGCGGGCGTCAACCATCCTCCGCTACGTACAGACACACGCACACGCACACCCACACAGCCTTTAGCGTCACCCTGATGCCGACGGGGTTACTGCGCCAGCACCGGCTCCCTGCCGTGGTCTCTCCCCCCAGCTCGCGCTCTGGCTTTGACGACGACGTATTTGTACATACACAATATTTCACGGGCTTTTGGGAGTGCCAAACCACTGGGAAAGGTGCTGAGCAGCCAGAAAAATAGAGTTTGGTGGCTACAGAAAGTTTGGCTGGTTCTTTTTTTTCTTTCCGTGCCCCCCAGCCCCGACTCTTCTTTGTGCTTATGAAAGTCCCCAGGTATGGAGTAATTTCTAAAAAAAGTGCCTCTCCTTCTCTCTCTTGGATCCCTCAGTCCTTTGGCTTTACAAGCAACTGCAATGATTTTGGTGGTTAGTCAAGAGGCTTAAAAATGAAGATCTGTGGTTGACTTCACAGAGTTCAACAGAGATGAAATTTCATCCAAAAAAGTTACTGTCTTTTCACAAGGGAAAAGAAATGGCCTATGCACGCCCGTGTTTATGGAGGGGGGGAATGTAGTTGGGTTTCCTGCTTGCAAAAGGACTGCACAAAAGCCATCCTTTTTTGCAAAGTTTGATTCGTGAAGAGGCTTGGAGGGAGAACTGACACTAAATATGGGCAAAAAGGGTGCAATGATCAGGAAAAAGTCATGCAGGTTTGGGGATTTTTTTTTTTTTTTAATTCTGTGTAATGTGACTGCCCATCCCAACTCCCTGTTTTTTTCCTGCTGGGAAGAGGCTTGTTGCTCTGTGCCTTACTCACTTCATTTCGAAGCATCCCCAGACCCCGGCGAACCCCCGGGAGTGCAGGACCTGGCCAGGGACAGTGCTTGAAGGACACTGCGTCCAAACTCATAGCACGGGACAAAGGTTGAGGACAGGGAGTGCATTTTCAGACCTGCAACCTCAACTCTGCAGATGCTTTTGAGGTCCCTTGATCAAGGGCATGGGGAGAAAACCCCTCTAGCAGACACCCATTGACACTAACTCACTGTGTTTTTTGCAAGGGTTCCCAGCAGACAGTTGCCATGTTTTCTGAGCTTCTCATGCAACCTCTCTGTGATGTGATCCATGGCAGCTGGCTGTCACCTTCCACAGCCTCGGGGCACTTTTAGCTGTTGGTCTGCCATCCTCCCAAAACTGAGGACTTGAGAAGACACCGCAATGGGAATCAAGGGTCTCGTTGGCCTGTGATGCCTAGTTGACAACTAACATCCTAAGGATGTTAAGGTATAAATCCAGGATGATGTTTCTCATTGGAATTGTTAAAAACCATTTAAGATAAATCTGCCAGAAAATGTAAGCAGACCACTGGTCCTGCTGTGGGACATGGTAATGGACTAGGTAACCTCTGGAGGTCTCCTCTATCTCCTGGTAGTCTATGAGTAGGACTCTCCACATCTATTATTTTTCACAGCATACCAGTCCTAAGGGAGACCTCAAGTGGGGTTGCCAGTCATCCTGACCACCTAGAAAAAGTCTATCTCCGCTGGCTGTCAATCAGAGAAGGAAATGGCAAAGCAGCATTTCAACATCACCGCCAGTGAGTTGTAAGAGACACGGGAGTGGAGCCGTGAGAGACTGCAGGAGTGGGCACTCCTGGAAAGCAGCTGCCACTTGCTTGTCCATCCTACGGTGAGGCTCAGCCCATGCAAGAAGATTAAAAGCTGGTGGAGACCCGGCTTGCTGGGGCCAGATCTGTAGTAGGACAGGGCATGACTAGAGGACTTGAAAGGAAAGCAGCAGAAGGCGGCAATTCACAGCATGACCTCATGATGTTGAGATAGTTCCTTGCTTTTGAAGGGCTGAGCATCAGGGTTTAATCCCTTTCTCACTCGTGGCTCAGAGGACACAAGTTTTGCAGAGCTGCAGCTAGTAGTTGTGTCACTTGGTGATCACAAATGGCTCCATGATCTCTCAGAGGACAGCGATGTCCTGGATAAAGGGGAGATGTTCACAGCAACTCAGTGCATGCTATGGCACCTTGGAGGGAGGTAAGGGACTTTCGTGCTGGTAGCGCTACCTCCCTGCCTGCTTTTCTGATCTGGGTGAGCCTTGTGGCTGTGAAGATCTCACATGTAAGTCTCAGTTCAGGGTGTGACCTGGCATCCTGCACACAAGACTTGGATCTTGGCATGTTCCTTTGCACAGCCCTGGATTAGGACAACAAAGTGCTACAGCCCCAAGGGCCTTGAGGAACAGAACTTTGGATAGGATGCATCCAGGAGGATTTCTGTGCATCTCTTACACGTCCACAGGTGTTCCACTGAAACCAAGAGTAGTTTTATATTGAACCAAAACCCAAGAAAGTTGCTACGGTTTCTCAGTAAAATCTGAAGCAATAAACAATGGAAGGTGTTCTGCAGGGAATGGGAATAAAAAGCACTGGACTTTGCTGCATCAGCTGCTGCTAAGCCGTTCTATGGATCCAAACACTAAGGAACTAATGATGTTCCTTGGAGGAGCACAAACCAAGGAACAAACGGACTGGTCCAAAAGCCAGGCCTAAATACTCAGGGACAATCTGGAGCTATTCCTATGGCCCCCATGGCTGTCAATCCGGGTAAGCATTTATCCTGGGAAACCTTCTCACCCTTTCTTACCACCTTCTTTCTTGGCTTGATCTAGGGTTCAGACCCCAAGAAGGCACTGGGAGTCCTCAGCTGACCTCCTCAAGGGAAGACCCCCAAATGCTCAAGTAGCTTAAGGGCATCTGCCTCCCTGTGTCCCAAGAGACCAGAGAGACATTTGCCCTCACCCTCCAGCTGGGCTCTGGTTGCAGCTCGGTAGAATGGGTCACCTCACCAGCCTTTGCTTAAACGACCCTTTGGCAGAGTAAATAGGACTTGGCAGGAGGGAATGTCCTTCACTTGCCAACCTGGACAGAAGCAATTGCCTCTGCCAGCTCCTCAAGGAGGGTAACCGTAGCAATCCACTCCCTACCCATGACATGTTTCATGACTTGGCCTTTCCACAAGTTGGCTGGATATTTATGTCCCCAGGGTGATATCTAGCAAACCTTTTCTATCCTATCTCTTCCTAGGAAAACTAATGAAATCCCCTGACTGAAGACCTTCTGCCTCTCTGCAAGACCGGCGGACGCACAGGTAGCACATGAGAATGGGTTGCGTTGGGCTTGAGCCCTGCCCATGGGCTCACATATTCGTCCCTCATGAAGAAAGATTAGCTTGGAGTGGGACAACATCGGCCTCTGGTTGTTTGGATGTGACAAAAAAATACCTACCCCAAACACTTTACAGGACCAGTGAATAGAGGTGCTAGGGTTGGGACACAAAGCAAGCCAGCCGTAAACAAAATGCAACACACGTGTTTCTTCCTAACACCATCAATACATGACACATGTTTCTTTAAAAAGGAGGGCCTGAGGGGTAGGTGACAGCTTGGAGATGCATGCTGGTTGCATGCTGGCCATGGTTTCCAGCGGGTGGATAAACCCCACCATCCAGTTCATAGTGTGGTTACTTGGTCCACCCCAGAGGTGCTTCAAGAACCTCTCCAGTGAACAAAACCATCTTCTCACCGGTGCTCTGGTTTCTTCAGTCTGAACCAGGTGGGCTGCCCTTCAGGTCCTGAGCAACCCTGGAGACAGTCTGAATTCTACATCACTTGATGTGTCCTGTCAAGAGCCCCCCAATGTGAGCCAGGGCTTCAGAAGACCTCCTGACAGCTCACCCATCAAAAGTCTTTCCCCTCTTGGCTGGGGCAGGCAAAAGCATTTCCTTTGCAGCTCTCATTTCTTGGTTCAACCCTCTCCTTCACCTTTTCCCAGGGAATTTCCCAGGGAGTCCATGGCTCCAACTCCATCTGCAGAGAGTTGGAGAAACTACAACCAAGCTGTAGGGTGGAAACGTGGCCAGGACCAAGAATGAGCTGGTTGTCGACGATGCTGATATTGTATAAAATCAAATAAATTGGCAGACAGGTGAGAAGGAGGAAGGGATGCCCACACGCTGACCTCTCCTTCCCATCCCCTCCCTCCTCCCTCCTTTTCCCCCAAAAAAGTTACTGGTCTGGTTGTTTTGTAAAGAAACCAACACAAAGAGAGTCTCTGTCTGGCGTGTGCCTGCCCTGCTTCACATCACGAAGAGGCTCAGCACAGCAACAGCAGGGAGAAGCCACATCTGCAGCGGAGAGGCTGCCCGGTGGGAGCGAGCTGCTGGGCTGGAGGTCCCTGATGACAGACGAGTGGAGCCCCGCAGAAGCCTTTCCTCTCCGGCCACCTGCAAGAGAAAGGAGACAGCATGTGGTGAGTGGTGTGGTTGCTCCCCACCTTGGTCTCTCTGAGGATTTAGGGCCTGGGGACTGTGTGCATGTCCTACGTGTGTGCATGTACAGAGGGAGCCGGGGCTAGTCTCAGTGCCCCAGCTCTAGTCTGGAGGTCAGCTCAGCTCTGCTGGAGACGGTGGTGAAGGCGGTGGTAGCACTGTGGCATACAGCAGGGTCACCCTGTGGGCACAGCACTGGGTGTGGAGGTTTGGACGCTGGCTGAAGGTCTCTTTGTATGAGGTGGGTGCCTGGACGCCCACTCTGGTCAATGGAGATCCCTGCAGCCACTGTCGGCCAGCAGCTTAACCTGGTGGCCTCTTCAGGTGGCGATGTCCCCTAGGTATTGAATACATCTCCATGGGGCTGGTAGTCACTTCACCGAGCAGCAGTTGGGAGCCAGGTGGCTTGCTCCAAAATACAGTGCACGTGTTTACGCAACTGACTCCCACCCTGGGTGCCTACCCCCTGCAGACAAACTGCACCCTTCTCCTTTCACAATGTGTTGACATCTGTGGCCAAAAATTTGCTTTACTAGAGACCTCTATTTTCATTAGGCGATAACCAAAATAATCTAGAGCCAAGGCTCTGCACTGCTATGAAGATGGGAAGCAAATGGACTAATGGGTCCATCGTAGCTTTCCTCCTCAAGTCCAGGGGCACCACCCTCATTAAACACTGAACAGGATCTGGATCTGAAGTTGAGTCCAAAGTCAAGACCCAGCTCCCTGGTTTCTCTTGCAGTTTCAGCAGGGACCATGCTCCAGTAGCACTCACACCTCAGCAGAGGGACATGCTGCTGTCATGTGGAGGCTGGCGATGTGGTAAGGCCATCCCTTACCGCAGCTGCTTTCTCCAGCTTCCCACTTGCTGGTGGCAGCAGTGGTTGGCTATCTGGACCAGACTGTCAGTGATGAGGGAGGTTCACAGCTTCTCCATCACTTCCAGGATAAAGTTCTCAGTGCAAGGTCTGGACCTCAGGCTGCTATTTGGATTGCACTGAGGTCTGGGGAGCACTAGCTAAAAGCAAATTCTCCAAATCTCCTGGGTGCAAAGTTTATGGCCTGATGAAAGTATGCCTGTGCTGTCCATGGGCACCAATGCCCGGAGATGCAGTGAGGGAAGCTGAGGCCACATTTCTGCACCTCCCAACTTGCTGGTCTCTGAAAACAGAGTGGACGAAGGTGAATCAGGTGTTTTCCCAGCAAAATAAACAGGGAAGAGGCTTAAAAGAACCCACGTGTGGAAGCTCTTTGAATGTATTGGCTAGGTTACTGCAAAGCCCACGCTCAGTCCTTGAAGTCTAGTTAACTGACAGCTTCTGTTACCTGAGTGTTCAGCAAATCATGGTCACTGTTAATTATTCAATAGTAGAATAATTCAATCTGAAAATTACTCTGGCAAATCAAGGTCAATGCTTTTTATTTAAAAATAAAATATTTAATGCCTACTATTGCCATAATCAGTAAATTAATCTGTTATTTGGTTTAAAATAATTTAAGTTTAATATTATTTTGATACTAACACTTTCCTCATGACTAGAGCCTTTCATCTGAAATTTTCCAATGCTTAGCCAACCTTAGTCAGTTAAGCTTCTACATTATGACCTCCAAGATCCTCATCTAACAAGGGGAGAACCTGCATCCCAGGCAGCTGAAATGCTTGTCTGAAGACATGCGGCTGCCCTACAGGAAGGTGAGGAGCCAAACCAGTGGTCCTGGCTCCCCTTCTACACTCTTGAAAAGCCCATGGATTTCCCAGTACTTCTAAAAAAACCTCCATATCTCTCCGTAGCACCCGTGAAAGAAAAGAGGTGACCAACAGGCAGGAGGACAGAGTCAGGGATAGAGGCATGTAGCCCTGTGCTTGATGTGGGGAAGAATATGTCAGGGCATGAAGAATAGGGTGAATCAGGGACCCCAGGAGGTGAAGGAGAGGTTGGATGTCTGCATGTAACTGAAATTACATAGATGGAAGAGGGAGCTGAGATGAGGAGAGCTGGAGGGCATAGAGGAAGTATAGACATCGCCAAGCATCTCTTAGGGCCACGTCAGACTTCTCCTACCTTTGTGGGCTGGAGGTGCTCGAAGATGTTCTCTCTGAGGGTCGCCACAGCTCTGTTGGCATTTCGCTCCTGCTTGTACATCTGTGTGGTGGGGGGGATGGATGGGACCACAGCTGCGTTCAGGTAGGTCCCATTGCCAAAGGCCAGAATGGCATTTTCTTTGTGTGGGAAAGAGATGGAGAAAAGTGTTGTCAGGGCAACGTTTCCAAGGGAAAACACATGCATCCCTTCTCCAGCCTCCTTTAACTGCATCACCCAAATGCATGCCCGAGGGTCTTCAGAGCTCCTTTGTTGAAAGCACAGGGACCTGGACACCTATAGACTCTTGAGAACCTGGGCATCTTCATACCCTCTTTCACAAGAAGCCTCACCAGCTTGTGGGCGATGCTGCCGGAGCAGCAGTGTGCTGGGCGATACTTACGGAGACAGATATTGTCAGTGAAGAGATGCAGAAAGCTCTCACACTCTTCTTGCCGGTTGCCGCTGGCGTTGCACGTGCACCAGGGAGCTATGCTGGAAGTTGAGTTGTCAATGTAGTTGGGTGTGATGGGACTGCCTGCCGGGAAGGATGGAGAAGTGTTACCGCAAGGCAGGTACTTCGAGAAGGGACAATAATGTCCCTCCTTGCTTCTCTCCTGGCTTGCTCTGCTTACAGCCTCTGTTGGGACCCTCTGTGATGACAGCAAGAGAAAACCCTTCAAGTGCTGGTGTCACAGGTCTGTTTTGCTCCCAGGGAAGAGAAAAGGGGCAGTCGCAACCCTTTTGTTCACCCTACCGCCAGCAAAACCTTCAGTCAATTAAAACATGCTACCAGTCCAAGGAATGGGCAGCTCCTGGGAGCCCAGGTCCCCTAGTAACATTCAAAAATCGTATGTGAATGTGTGTAAAGGTTTCCACGCTGTCACTGAAAAAGCCAAACTCAACCATCTCCAGAATGGTTGGAAGCAACAAAGGAAGGATTAAATCAGAATGAAATCTTGACCCAAAAAGCTGTCAATCTATCCCATCCATCAGGATGGACCAAGTCCAATGGTCATTGGCACTTCTCTTTGGACTCTGGCTGTGCTTGTGCTAGCTTCTGCCAGCTGGGTCTCTGCAGCATCTGAAAACCCAGTTTGACATCCTCTGAAGTCAGTAAGATGGCAGTGGATGGTGACTTCTAGTGGCATCTCTGGTGATGGCATCAGGGAACCCCTGACAGAGCAGATGCCCTGGGATGGCCCATCTATTTCCACCTGTGAGAGAAGCTGGGAACTTGCAGCAGCCCATGGTTTTTGCCCCTCCATTGCAGCTATCCTAAAGCTACCCCATGCTTGTGGCTTTGGTCACTGCAGAGAAAAAGCCCAGCGCTTCCCTGAGATCCCAGTCTCAGCTCTCCACCTTACTGTCCCTATAGCTTTTAGCTGGCCAGACTAAGAGGAGATATTTCCCACCCAGAGGAGATATTTCCCACCCAGAGAGTGGGAGAGAGACCAGCCAAGGACGCAGCCTCTTACCGATGATCCCTGTGTAGGCCAGCAGACAGGCAGCGTAGCTGTCCCTCCGGCAGCCGCTCGCAGGCCGTGGGGACGGCTGGCAATTAAACTGGAACTCCACATAGCGTGACCTGATGGAGCAAGAGCACAAGGTGGAGGATATTAGCACAGATGTTTGGGGCAAATAGCATGCTGGTGGTGTTTACAGAAGCGAACACATTTGCAGAATCCTTTGCTGCTGTAGGTGGTGTTAAACCAGTTTGAATGTCCTTTTATACTCTCCTGCCCACCCCCAACGAGCCCAGAAGTGGGTTCTATCCCTTTGAGATGAGGTGTAAATAGGTGCTGTAGTTAATGTTTTACAGGCTTCCTCTGGGATTGCAAGAAAGGGCCAGTCTTGGAAGAAATGTTTGTTTTCTGCTGTGTGAAGTTGACTTCTGAGGGAAGAGCTGTAGCAGGCAGCGAGGGAATTCATTCTGTATTGCCATTATCTGACTCCTGGGTAATAGCTTCCCCCCGAGACCTAAGCCTTCATTTTTAGGCTGATTTGCTGAACGAGAGAATCACTCTGGTCCAGTTTCTCTCTCTTCAGAGACTGTGCTTTAAATGTAGCTGAGGTCATCCCGAAGGCTCAGATATGAAATGCTCTACCCATCGGCAGGGCTGCTGCCACATCCTCTGCTGCAGGCACCCATTCTTGGGAGAAGGTTGGACTCTCTGGAGCCTGTGGAGCAAGAGGTGTGTGACATACAGCTCTGACCGCAGACCACTGTGCCTTGGTTTTCACATTGTCTAGGTCAAAGCACCAAACCACTTAGCACAGAGCAGCCTGGGCTCGTTGGGACTGTCTGGGCCATGCAGGGAAGTTGGTGCATCATTCAGACAGATTGCCAGATTGCTCTTTGCGTGTGGCTCCCCTGCTAGCTTGGTTGGATAAACTCTGTAAATCATGCTGCCAAACAGATATTTGGCACCTAATTCTTTAGGGATGAGGCAGTTGTTGGCACATAGGCATCTAGTGGTGTTTGGATGTTGTAGGATGTCTAAGACATCCACGTGTGGCTTTCAGGTAGGACATAGGACCTACTGGAGATTCAGATCCATCTAAACAGGCTTCCCATGTCAAGGTAAGAAGGCATCTCACATGGCATTTGAGCTGTTTGGGAAACTCAAACAAGCACTAACACTGTTGATACTTGAAGGTAGAGCCCTTTAGATGACAACCTGCAGTGCCTGAACTGTGAACTGGGTACCTGAAATGTTTGCTCTGCCTGGGCAATCTCAGCAAAACTGAGCATGTTGCTCCTCCCGGACAGCCTCTCTCTTCCAGACATTTCATCGGTGCTCCTGGTCAGTGTCAGCACTCTGACTTGCACTTCCCCACCCCCTTCTCTCCTCCTCCCTAGTCTTCTTTTTTTCTCTTTCTTGTTCCCACGTTTGCCCCATACCAACCCCTTTCTCCTGTGCCGTGGCCAGGCAAACTCTTCTTGTCCAAATTTTTGCTGCATTGTTTAGGAAAGGGAGGTGCTGATTGCAGGTTTTGTATTATTCATGTTAGTAGATCCCAGTCCTCCAAGCTGTGAAGACGCTGCAGGAGGACTAAGCAGTGCAGGCAGGGTTAGCCCCGGAGTATCTCACTCTCTTGCTTTAAAGTGCCGTGATTTGTTCCTGGCTCTCCTTGTGGTTTCTGCACTGCTGGCTTTGACCAGGTCACACGTCAACCCCTTGCTCCTGCCATGTCTCTAGAGGATGTTTTATATGATATATTCAGAGACCAAGGAACCAGATAATTAACAGCTGTGCTGCTTGCGGGAAATGGTTTCCAGCCTCCTGGGAAGCAACACTCTCCCCTTTGAACCTCTTCTTCCCCGCTGGGCCCACTTGTCTTGTCAGGGAGAGGGCAGTACCCATACGTTTCGGATTCCCTGGGTAGTCAGGGGAAATCTGAGCAAGAGCTGGTGTGGCTCAGGGGCTTTGCACCTTTCAGAGTCAGCTTCAGATGTATAGCTCAGTTCTCCTTCAGCCACGTTTCTGGGGTGCAAAAGGGTGATGGTATTAGTACAAGTCCATCCTTCCAAGAGGATGCCACTGCTCTCACCTCCCTTTGTGAAAAGACACAATTTTTTAATTGTAATTTAAAGATGACATGCTGGTAGGGGATGGCTGCTAGAAGTTCAGCTTAGGAAGTCCCAAAGCCCACAATAATTAGAGACTGGGACAATACTGGGAGTTGTGTCCTACACTTGCTCTTGTGCTCTTCTCCAGGTGTCTGCTCATGGCCACAGCTGCACACAGGTCATGGGGCTGGGACCACCACGGTTGGTACAGTACAGCTGCTGTTATGGTGTTATATCTCTTACTGACAGATGGGCTCCACTCCTGAGAGCTCTGTGTGGATTAACCTTCTGGAATATCAAAGACTTTTTGAGAAATAGAGGGGTGAAAATAGTACAGCTGAGGGAAAAACACTTAAGAGGTATGCCTGTGAGTGTGCACATGGGGATGGTCTGTGCATCTGTGCATGCATGGGGCTTAAATGGAAACAGAAGGGCAAACCAACCTGGCCTCATACTACGTGGTAGATCTGGAGTGACAACTGTGACTCTGAGACCCCTATTGCAATCACTACAACATCCAGCCCTGCAGCAGAAGGGTATATTTTTTATATATGATTAATTTTCCTAATTAAAAAAAAAAAGCCATGTGTTTAAGGTATCTACAAGTGCCTGTGACTGTTAGGATATCTTGGGTGCTCCTGTAGGATGCTCTGGGCTAGGGGAGATAGACAGTGAGGAGACAGATTGGTGAAAGGGACTGCAAGCACCCCACACTACATCCCTGCTTGGCTTGCACCTTTCTGGAACTATTTCCATAGCGGGTCTTTCCTTAGGACCAAAGGCAAAAAGCCATAGAAAAGGTCTAAAAAGCTCCAGCATAAACATTTCAAATCTTCTCCTGACTGTTTAAAGCCTTCTGTATAGAGTATGAGGCAAGGACCTGGGTCATGGGAAGGAGCCACTCAGAGAATGGCCTGTCAGTGGGTTGTGGTGGGATGGGTGCCTCCAGACAGGGTCCTTCAGGTGAGTTTGTTGGCTCTGGGCACAAGGCTGTCACTGGCGCATGAGCCCCAGGCTTGTCTGAGGGACAGCTCTCCATGTCGGCCACCCCAGTGTGTGAACGTTACCTGCAGACGTAGTTCTCCCGGCAGGAGTCCAGAGGTGCCAGGCAGTTGGGCTTCTCCTTGGACTCATAGGAGCAGGCAGGGACAATGGTCTGCCGCCGGCGCTCGGCGCAGGCCGTGTCATCACAGGGGCAGAAGAGCAGCTCATGGGTGTACTCCGGCGGCACGCGGTCGAAGAACTTGCGTAGAGCCTTGTGGCACTTGGAGCGGTTGCAGGTGTCGGCTCGGGCCAGGCGGCGGATGCAGAAGGAGACATACTCTGTCCGCAGCCGCTGGCACATCTCATCCACATTGCAGGCTTTGGCAGCATCCAGGCACCGGTTCACCTGGGTCACCTCGTTCTCAGACCCTGTGAGGCGGTGGGAGATGGTGATGGGGTTTTGCACTGACCTCCCCGCCAGTAGCACCGCACTATGCTGAGACCTTCATCCTCGTCATGCTTTCATCCATGGCCACCTCCAAGATGCCACCACCCACTCTAGGAAGGCAGTGGCCAGGGTGAAGTCCACACCTGCTCTCTGTGTCCCAGCAGGGCCAAATCCCCTTTCCCTATTGACCTTTCCCAAGAGGTGCCATGGCCACACACCAAACCTCCCAGCCCAGAGCCTGCTCCACTAAGCTCCTACATTTAGTGAAGTGAAACTTTGCTCTACCATGGGCATCTTATAATATTTTACCCACATGAATTAACCAACTTGAGTCCTGGGAAGACAGAAGTCATTAGAAAGGGCATCTGCTCATGCCCATGACTGGATCCACCAGTGTAATGTGATCTCTTCTAATGAACCTTCTTTTTCAAAAATGGTGCCGAAGAACAAACGTTGTCAGTGGCTGTGCCAGGTCTTCCCTAACCCTTACAACCCAGACTCTCTACCCTGTGCAATGAGTTTCCTCAGACCTCTGGAGGGTCAAGTCAGGCTTTGGGAGCAGCTGTGCCATGTTCATCCCAGGACCTGCTCAACTAAGTGAGAGCTGTCCGGTTCTCAAAGCCCCACAGCAGTGCTCTGGCTTCCCCAGTTCAGACCAGTCCTGCCCAGTATGCCCATCTTCTAAGCAGTGACACTGCCTTCATGGGATGAGTATCAGAGCTACAATCTAACCTGATGCCCTGGGACCTTGATGCTGCCTGCATGTGAGGGCATGCGGGTCTCTCTCCACACCCTTTGCAAGGTCACCCCTTCACTGGCTTGGGTGAAATCACTCTGCGTTTCCACCCACTTAAGCAAGAGCGGAACAAAAGTCCTGGATTAGCAGTCAGGGTGGGAGAGCAGGGGTGTGCTGTGGGGATGCAGGGAGGGAGAGGAAAACTTGCTGCAGGGGGAAAAATCAGGAAAATAAAACAAAAAACTGTGGTGATGGGTGAGAAACACACTGTCTTCGGTGGGGGTCTCATGAGTTTATTTGCCAATGACCTCCTCTGCAAACAGAGGAATGGGTAAGATTGAAAGATATTTGCATAACACTGATTTTAAGGCTCCTTCAAAGATGGTTGGGGCTCTTTTTATAGAGGGGGAAATGCTACAGAGTCCCTAGTAGGAGTCAGTTGAGACATTAGGCTCTGTCTGATCGGACAGATAAGATGAGGGTCCTCCAAGCATGAGAGAGAAAATGAATTTGAAGCCATTTTTCAGCCCTCTAAATTAAGCCCATGACCTGAAGAACAGTAGAAGGACTTTCTCTCCAGCAGAGAAGGATTTTTCAGAGGAAAAAATCCTCAGAATGATAAATTTCCAATGCAGAGAGTCAAGCCCTATCTTTGGCCAGGATTTAAAACCAGCCAGTCACTGCTGACAAGTGTTAAAGCATTGACAGTCTCTCTGAGCGCTTCAGAACTGGCTGCCCTCCTTCATTTTCACTGACGCTATCAGATTCTCCATCTCTGAGCTTTTATTTTTCCCTTCCTTTTGCCTCCACTGCTTGCAGCGAGCTGGAAGTCAAATTCCAAGTTTTGCAGTTATTTTATAATGGGTGAAACTGGGACTCGGTGTGTTCCTGCCGCGTAGGTACTTCCCTTTAAAAATGCCCGGAGATGAATATTGTTAGAGCATCGGTTTACGCTGGGGAGCTGTCAGCAAACATGTAGGAAACAGTTACATGGTAGGTTTTCATTACCCATTAGCTAATGAATCACAGGGAACACGCTATCTTTTCTCCTCTTCCCACGCAACGACAGAGGATGTGCTTTTTTAAATCACCGCTACAATTAGAGTGGAGGGGTATAATTCTATTTGCACAGTTTTAATACTGGCCATACATTGTTTATGTAAGATTGGGTTAAAAATACCTGTTGCTCTGACTTGGCATATGGTCATGGGGATGTCTTAGGTTTCAACAAGTTCTTGGAAATATTTTTTTTATGGTAGGTTTGAAAGAGTGTCCTTT